GAGAGGGAGAGAGAGGGACAGAGAGGGAGAGGGAGGGAGAGAGAGAGAGAGGGAGAGGGAGAGAGAAGGAGAGAGGGAGAGAGAGGGAGAGAGAGGGAGAGAGAGGAGAGCGAGGGATAGAGAGAGGGAGAGAGCGAGTGGTAGAGGGTGACGGGGAGAGAGAGGGAGAGTGTGGGAGAGAGAGGGAGAGAGAGAGAGGGGAGCGCGAGAGAGATGAGAGGATGGTAGATGTTCAAGGACGCCCCAAAGCAGCCAGGAGAAGTGTGGGAGGTGGCAGGTATTAATCAATAGCAATGGTTGAGGGGGTTGTGGCCGAGAGATGGAGGGGACAGGTTGGGGGGGGGGGGAGAGAGGTGGAGAGAGAGGGAGAGGAAGAGAGCACTCCAAAAGACTGGTGAACCGTGAGCTCCCGTGGTCGTACGAGTGGAGGGCAACAGGTGACAAATACCTGGTCAGCATCGACAGCCGACGCGGTCGGCGCGCCTAGCATGGTCAGCAGTGTAGCGCCCCTTCGGGTCTCGCGCCCGGGTTGCCAAGCGGGTGCAGGTGCGCGTTTGTCGGTGGCGAGTGCAGTGTCAGCTCTATAGGGTTGGAAGGGGGTAGGGTAGAGAAGTAGCGCCAGGCAGTGTCAGCGGAGCACTGAGTCGCGCTCCGCTCGCGAACCGATTCAGACAGTCAGTGTGTGTCCAGTCGCGGCCTGGTGTGCAGTGAAAGTAGTGTTTGTGTGTGAATAAGTGCGAAGTTTGAAGTCTGGAGAGCCAGGCGATATTGCAATACATGGTAAGTGAATGTTAAATAACGTGAGTGTTGAAGCGTGTTAAAAAGAAACGTGGTATGCTAAAACACTTGCGTTTCAGGTGGTGTTCAAGGCCCCTCTCCGAGATGAAGTGTGACTGGTGCAGTGCAGAGGTGGGCGAGCCCAACCAACTCCTCGCTCACATCCTCGCCCAGCATGGGCCCAAATCCTCCATCTCCAAGCCGCGTGCAGAAGCAAAGCCGTGTAGTGCAGTGCAGTG